CTCTCAAAAAAAAAGAGGACCCTTGGTCAAAAAAAAAAAAAAAAAAAAAAAAAAAAAAAAGTAATAAGGATGTGAAGCTTTAGGAAGTAGAGAGGGCTGTGGAAAAGAAGTGGCAGCATCCTAGCTCCAGCCTTTTATTGCTATTTAGTACTAAAAACTATTTGTTGCTGCAGTTCCTGGTTTTTCCAAGGCTGAGAAATTGTTTGTAAGTCATAGTGAATGTTCTAATTGCTCAAGTGTTGCTAGTTTGTAACATCCAAATTTTATTTTATTGATTCATTGTTTTGTTTTTTTTAAGCAGCAGACAAATGCTTACCACTGAGCTACACTCCCAGTCTCCAAGGGAATTATTTTTTTTGATCCTTTGAAGAACTCTTGCTTTCATTCTGGTTGATGTAGAATTCTCATAACTGATAATTTTCCTTTCCTCAGGATAGTGAATGGGTCTACTTCCAGCCCAGGAAACATTCCATGATGCTCGAGTGGCTAGGTCTAGTTGTTGGTTCTTTCACTCAGCATGTTGCTTCAGCAGGAACTGAAAATATAGGTAAGAAGTTTTTTGTTGTTGTTGTTGTGTTGTTGTTTTGTTTTTGTTGTTTTGTTTTGGGGGGTTGGGTTTTTTTTTTGTTTTTTTGTGTGTTTTTTTTTGAGACAGGGTCTCACTATGTAGTTGAGATTGACTTAGAACTCACTACGTAGCCCAGGCTGGTCTCAAACTCACAGCGATCCTCCTGCCTCAACCTCCTGAGTGCTGGGATTACAAGCATGCACCACCACACCCGGCTCTATAGTATACTTCTAATGGATACACAGATTGGCTCCACCACTTTTTGGCAGCAAGAAACAATTCAAATATCTAACAGCATTCGTACAATGGATAGGTCCATCACAGGCTACTCAGATAATGGAATACTGTGCAAAGTGAAAGCGAATGAGTGCTGATGTGTAAGGCATGGACAGATCTTGAAAATTTGCTGAATAGAGAGGACAGGTTACAGAAAAACGTAACAATAGAGAATGTAGTATTTAGAGAATAATACAGCATATATATGATAAAAGTTTTGGTCTTTTTTAAAAGGAAAGAGAGTAAAAATTCAGGTTATACGGGCCCACAGGGCATCTTCAAAAAATGTGATAATTTCAGGGCCAGGGCTATAGCTCAGCGGCATAGCACCTGCCTGGCAAGTGTGAGGTCCTGAGTTTGATCCCCAGTACCCCCCCCCAAAATTGATAGATTCCTACTTAAATTGAGTGGAAGGTACCTTCATTATTATATACTTTTATTATCCTTTAAATTGCATACTTATACTGTATTCATGTTTACCCTCTTTCATGTATTCAATACAAATGAAACATTTTTTGAAAAGGCATATTTTTAGTCAATTGTGCATGCCTGTAATCCCAGCACTCAGGAGGCTGAGACAAGAGGATCACAAGTTCAAGGCTAGCTTGGGCTACATAATGAGACTTTATCTCAAACAACGAAAAAAGCATGCATGTACTTGGCAGGCATGCTGCATACCTGTAATCCCATCTACTAGAGGCTAAAGCCAGGAGGATTACAAGTTTGGGTCCTGCTTGAGCAACTACTAAGACCCTATCTCAAAATAAAACAAGGATATGTAGCTCAGTGGTAGAGTACATGCTGAACATGCACAAAGCATTGGGTGTCTGAGTGTGTTTCCATATGATCTTTTAAATGTAAAACATACCAGAAAAGTCTATAAAGAAATCTAGGCCTCCCTGCCCTGTCGTTCTTCCCAAGTTCCCTTCCCAGAATTTACTGTTCAACCCCTTGAGAATGTCTTCATACATTTGCGTTCTTGTCGGTGTCCTTTGAATCCCTTGGCTTTAAGTTTCCATCCCTCTTACACCTGCTTTTCTGTCTTAGCCCAGGCAGAAGGGGAAGAAGAAGAAGAAGGAGAGGAAGAGGGTTCGCTGATCGAAATTGCAGAGGAGGCTGACCTGATTCAGGCAGACAGGGTGATTGAGGAGGAAGAGGTAGTGAGGCCCCGGCGGCGGAAGAAGGAAGAGAGTGGAGCAGACCAGGAATTGGCTAAAATGCTTTTGGCCATGAGGCTAGACCAGTATGGCCCTGGGACCACAGCAGGACAGGAACAAGCTACAGGAGAATGGGAGGTAAACTCACTTCCTTTTCTGAGAAACCCAACAGAATGAGAAACAGTAATTCAGTTATTACTAGCAAGTGTATATTTGTTAGACTCTGAAACAAACTTGAGAGTGTCTGACGTCTCTTCACTCACTGCTGTTGTAATATATTTACTTCATCTTACAGTGGGCTAGTGTACCCATTTTGCAACCTAATCCTCATATGGTATTGGTCCAGATCCCAATGGTATAGACTCTTCCTTGGGACCCTGACAAGTACCAACATAGAAAGACAAGCAGGTAGCCAAATGCTTCTCTAGAACTTTTAGAAGAATGAAGCACAGGGCCAGAGATTTAGCTCAGTGGTTCCGCTGCCTGCCATGCAAGTGCAAGGACCTGAGTTCGATTCCCGGTACCAAAAAAAAGAAGCACATATGCATCAAATCAAACACACTCTCAGTGCTTCATGCCTTTAGGGTTACCTTCTCAACCGTAAAATCTGTGAACACGCCGTACATTCGTAGAGGACTAAACAGTGAAGTGAGCCCTCCAGGGCGGATGGGGTACTCCTCCTGCAGTCACCCTGAAATTTGATAGTTCTGTTAGAGAAAACAGTGCCAATTGCCTAGTCGTCTGTGACACTTGGATTTTACTCTATTACTATTATAAAAGATGCTCAAAATACCAGTTTGTAAATTCTCCTGATAATTTAAGGGTATTTTAAGGGCACTTTCGGTTGCAGTGTTCACCTGATTGCTAGTTTTGCATCTGACCTCCTGGTTCAGCTCAACATTACTATATTAATGCAGGGTGAAATCATGATTCCAATTATTAGAAGTGTATACTGAGCATCTCTGTCACGTACGTGTGGGAGAGGGGTAGTGCTTTAATGTAGTGATCTGTTTGTTTCACGTGCCAGTCCTAAAGGCCATGGCCTCGCTCAGTGATAGAACCAGACAGGAGCCTGCCAAAAGACTTTTGACTGCCAAAACAGTGCCTTTCATCCATTTTGTTAAAAGTACTGTGATGGTAGCCGGGTGTGGTGGCACACGCCTGTAATCCCAGCACTCGGGAGGCAGAGGCAGGAGGACTGCTTCAAGTTCAAGGCCAGCCTGGGCTACAAAGTGAGACCCTGTCTCAAAAAAAAAAA